ACACTGAACTACTCTTTTCCACCTGGTTACCTGCATCCAGTGTTTCTCCTCACAAATCAAAAAACTTCGTGTCAAGTATTAACTGAACAAAAGAAAAATCACAAAACTCAGCCTTCCTGGAGGTTGCAATGCTTGTCACCTCAATTTCTAGACAAACACTTGGCTTTTTTGGATACCTGGAAGATTTAAAGTCCTCTTTGAAGCTACTGCCTGTAGGAAAAGCCCAAGAGTACTGCTTTCCATGAAGACAGTGCCAGGAAGTCACAGACACAGCAGAAAAATCTTCTGTATTTCCAAAACCCCACTGCACCTATACATTTAACACAAAAATATTGACTTGGGAAGTACTCCTTCGAGGTACAGAAACAAGCAAGCATTACCACTTCCAATCCACAGACAAACCACCAAAATATCAATTTAAAATAAGATTTTTGTAAAGACCCAAAGAGTTTTGTTTTCGCTACATTTGCCCGAGTTTGTACACTGGAGTCTTCAGTGTCATTTGCAGACCTCAAACCATTTGTTTCCACCAAGTGCTCCCTGTCTTGGTCATGTTCAAATTGTATTTTCGCAGGAACAAACTTAGGCTCGTACACCACATTCCACACATTTTCTCTTGTTCACGACATCCAGCCACACTTCATCTGGTTCAGCGGCAGTGCAGGCCTGCTTGTACGGTGGATACCAAACATGTTGTGAGAGACCACACAAAACCATCAAGTCTGCTGGATGTCTTTGGTACACTGAGGTCATACAGCTCATGTCAGGCTAGTGCTCCTATTGTTCAACATGTTTGGATAGACAAGGCCTGAATGCCACACCCTCACCCTACAATTACTTCCTTCCCCTGGTAAGCCAGTGAGATCCTCTGACCTTGTGCCAACATGTAGGCACACAGATGACCTAAAACTTGGGCAATATGCCCCCTAAAGCCACACCCACTACAACCAGAATTTTAATACAGATTTCAAGAAATACGGCTTTCATCACCTCTGCCTTGCTTCCTCCCTCCTGTGGCTGTGGATTCGTAGTTCCCATATGAACTTCCTCCCTCATTGTACTTCCCGTTCAAAAGAAAACAAGTCTTCAGACAACCCCCATCCTTCCTCCCCCTCCCTGCTGCCCATCATACTCACTGCCTGCTCTGAATTCCTTTTCCATTACTTGATTTCCACTCTGTGCACCCCACCCTCATGCTTGTACTCACTCATTGCAATAGTCCTCTGGAGCCAAGGCTTCTCCCCTCAATTCTCCTTCGTGCTTTTTGCTGGCAGCCTCTTCTTTACGGTGCTACCTGCTCACGTGAGAGGTACCCAGTGATGCAGATGACAGCAGCACATTACCAAACAGTAGAAACAACACAGTACTGTGTCTTTAGTATTTAAACATGCTTTTCCAATTTTGCAACACCATGTTTCAGGTTCAAAAACAGTATCTGGGATTTTTTTCAGGGTAAAAAGTAACCCGGCTTTCAGAATCAAAATGGAAAAAAAAGTACTAGTTACAAGGTGCTCAATACAGATTCCTGTTGCAACACATTGCCTTGTTATTCACCACATTAAAAACAATTTGTTTTTCTGATGTTACAATAATTGCATTTTTATAAAGGCAGCATGGGCTCTTTGACACCCAGATACCTACCCTGCGCTACTTGTTCTACAGCCAGGTGAGATGGAGGGGTTGTGTCAGGAAGATCCTGCTCTCCCACTCTCCCTCTCCCACTGTCCCCCTGTGTATTTTGTCAAGAATCCTTTAGTATGGTAACTGAATACTAGGCATATTCATTAGCCTAAGCAGACTGTTCCTTCTCAGCCTGCCCAACAGAAAACCAGGCCAGTTTCAGCTGCACTCGGAGCAAAACAGGCACATTTAGTTAGTGTAACAATTTTTTTTTATTTCAGTTACTTTTTCACATATATCTTTATGTAAGCTACAAAAATCGTGAAATGCAGAAATGGTATTAAAACTGCAAACGTAAAAGTCTTGATAAAAAAACCATGTCTTTCCTGCTAACAATGACCATTTAAAACAAACCATATTTTGATGGATTCATTTAATAAACATACCATACACTTCTCAAAAATAAATAAAGAACAACATCAGAAAAACCATCAACATGAAGCATTTAGTTGTCTTTCTTTTTTTCCTTTAAAGACAGAAATTAAATTTCTAGGCACAGTTTTAGGCATTATAGAGGACACCGAGGCAACAGGTTAGTGTGCACTGCTCTGTACAAAAATACAGTCTGAATAAATTACATTGCTAGCCATAAGATTAGACTTCATTTACCAGTCAGTTCATTGCATGTTTAATAATATACAGTTACATGCTAATCCATATGTATCATTTATATTTCAAACACATAGGTCTCTCTATATTTGTTTTTAAAATTTACAAAAGCTAAACGAAGTTGTGCAAGAAGAGGTGCTAGGTACTTGTCAGCACCGGACGGTATACTTTAAGCTTAAAAAACACAAATAACTAGCCCTGCTTACAAGTTTGCTATATATATATTTATTCATATATATTTGGAAGAAAAACAATGGATTTGTTGTGTGAGAGAATCATCCTACCAGTGAGATAAAGCCAAACAGCTGAAACAATGGTGGCATGACACAAGCACAGCATACAAAATGATTAATTTCTCGTACGTACACAAGACACAGATATGTATCCTTTTTGTGGCAAGGAAAAAAAAACCAGCATGTTGTATTTACTTTTAGTTCAGTGCTGAGAAACAGAATGCTTGCCTGAATTGTCAATGGTAAGGGGAAAAAAAAGAAACAGCAGTAGCAACGTAAGCTAAAGGTAGATACATAAAACGATACACTAGATGCCCAAATGCGAAGGACCTGAGGAGTTTGAGAGGTGTGTCCTAATACACTGCATTACCTTCAAGAAGAAAAGCAGGTGCTGAGACTGAAAATTAGATTTCTGACTCAAATATGAATGAAGAACCTTGTCTTTAGGCTTTCACTTTTGTAGATTTTTTGCCTGAACATCTTTCATATTAAGAGCTGGGTGACTTTCAGAGAGTATGCCATCAATTTGCATATGCCTCAGGCCTGACAGTTGTTTTTGCTCAAACTCTACACAAAGAAAAATTACTTCATAAATTAGTAGATACAATAGGGGTTCAGCACGGTACCTTCTTGTCAGCATAAGTAAAGTGCCGTGCTATGCCAGAACCAAAACACTGTCCTCCTAGAAAGGTACAGAAATCTCACAGTGGGCTTCTCTACGTTAACCTACTTCCCATGCCAAACTACAGTGTTCTCCATGCTGCTAAATAAAAGCAGAACTACACAACTGTTCAGAAAGATACAGAGTTAACTGTATTCTGAATATCCACCTCAAGTCATTCTCAGGAAAAAAAGCAGATTTACAAATACTCTCTGGTACCTGTGAAACAAGTGGACATAATTTTTCCTCCCATCCTTTTTGTTCTCCAGGCATTGCCATACAATACTTTACAAGTCAAGCTACCATTTTGCTCTGTCTAATCTAATTAATCACCTGGAAAAGACTGCTGATACGCAATATTCTGCCATGGTAGTAAAGATTTAACTCCAGAGAGCCCCAGAGTTTTATAATAAACCATCTCCGTACACCAGCAATACTTCCACAACAACCTCCTGAAAGCAGCCCTGTGGTCCCACAGTCATTGCGGAACCTCTATGCCCTGCCAACAATGGCATAAGCATTGACACTGCAGATGCACAGTCTTCTTAACATCAAGTAATTCAGCAGACTTTTCCATGGAACCAGCAAAACCATTTGTGTAGAGGCGGATGTGCAACCCCAGAATATCTGCTTTTCCAGAGGTCCACATAGAATATATTTTAAATTTCTCCATTAAAAAAAATAGTTATTTCTAAAGATTAGAACTGTATAAAAATATGTTCACAATTAATTGAAAATATCTAAATAAGCAAATTGTAAACAAAAATAAAAGTGATGCGGCTTAAATCTATGTGAAAGTTCTCCCTGTTTTATCATGGGTTTCACTTCATGTGTACAGTCTTTGGACGTTTTAAGTGGGAAACATACTAAGCAAGGAGTAGTTAGATGTACATAATCATCATCCAGTCCATTTATAAACTCAGCTTTTAAAAACAAGAGATTACCTCCTGAAGTGCAAATGTTTTAATATGGACATGATGGAGTCTCAGCTGTATCCTTGAGGATAAGAGACACTCACAACCTCACTAGATTTTTAAAAAATGGCAGTTTTTTTCTTTGCAACAGCCTTAGAAAACAATTTTTAGCAAAACTAGATTACACATGGAATAGAAGTGGTTATTTTGTCCAGTTCTACCTTAACTTGATGTGAACTTTTAAGCATTTCCCATAACACAGAGTCTGCACAAGGGCATATACAGAAGACAAACCATTTTATGTTTATTTTGTAACACCAGCCAAAATTGGGGGTATCAGTCCAAGACTCTCAAGAATGTGTACAAAGTTAATATTTTAACCACTGCATCACAGCTCATATTACAATTTTAAGACAAATCATCTCTCTCCCTCTGCATTTGTATTACATATATTCATTTATACTAACAAATACCTTCCAAAAATATAACTGAACTTGTTTCATATGCATTCTTTTCATAATGATGTTTGGAAGTTAAACGGGTACTTAGGACAACTAAAATTCATTATGCATTTTAGATGCCTGAGGGACAGATGAGGTCTTTTTCTGCTCCCCCTTACCTCCACCCTCCCAGCAAAATAGAGCTGAGACAACTTCCAACTACACAGACAGAAACACATGTCTCTGGGTTTGGACTTCCTTCAACAATCTGCTACAGCTGGCACAGTGATGTTGATTACCAATTCATGAGATCCTCTGTGGTTGGTGGCTAGGGTTCTTCTTTTTTTTATTATTATTATCCTCCCAGGAGACTGTTGAATGCAGATATTAGACAAGTCATTAACCAGTTACATTCACTGCCCTCAACACAGTCACTTGCAACAAATTCCTTAAGAGCTTTTTTGAGCAAGTAGCAAGGGGTCAACGCAGCCTATTGTACAAGATGCCATTGCTTGCTTATCAGACATTTGAATCCTCTATGATACAGGGAAACTTCTAAATGGAGCCTATACCAGCTGCTCCCCTGAAGGCAATAGCAGATGATGGCATTGCATTCTCATTCCAACTAGTCTTCTCACAATGATCACTGTCACGTAGATCCTTTTGCTTGTTGTCAGGAAAAATGAAGCTTATGTATCAGCAGCTTGCAGCATCTGCCTATGTAAGATCAGCAATCCTAGTGTTTGCAGTTCTTTTAAATGGTTGTAAAAGCTGGTTATAGTGTTCACACCCAAAAGGCAAAGGCTATTTTAATCAACAGAGCAGACTGTTTGGTGCCCCACGACTGTTCTAAAAAAACTGTGAGTTAGAAAAGATGGGATAATCCTTTTGTTATTTTTCTTTTCATTAAATGATTCTAGTAATAGTCTTCATAGTTTTTAGGGTTCAGGCAATAAAGAATGGCACCCCCAAATGAAAATATAGTTGCACCCCAAGCCAGGCCATAGCCCCAGTTGAACTCATGGTATATTTTCAAGCTGACCGTTTCGATGAACTTGATTGGGTAAAGGACTAAGCTGCACACCTGAAGAACAACTGAAAGAAAAAAAAAAACAAAAAACAACGTCAGAAGCAGCCTTAATTTATTTCCAAAGAGCAAGGAAAACATCACATAACTGAAATTCACTATTAAAATGCTCTTGGTGCATTTTTAGCCTGTAAGTACTGCTATTTTCATTTCATCCACAGAGAACAGAGCTGTTCTTCCACATCCCCTCATTGATGAACTAATGTTATTGCTATGGTATAATGATGATCCTTCAAATGTCCAAGAAATAAACAGTGAAAGCAATCTTTTCCCCATGCTTTTCTGTCTCTCCTTTGTATTTTAGTTTGCAGTCATTATTCCTTCCATAATAACAAAGCAAAGATCACTTGTTCTATAGCTATTATAAATAAAATGAGAAGCAAGAATAAATGAATATTAAGAAATATAGCTCAGAATCAAATAGTTTACTTAGCCGAGAAATAAATTCACAGTAGTAGGTGATACATTCTTATGTTCAGTAGAGACTAAGGGAATCACATATTTCATATGCATTACTGTGTCCTGTAATCAGAATTAATAATATAGTTACACAGAATACCAAGGAATCTATAAAGTTTGATCAGTCACTAAATGTCCAGCTGGCAAAACATTGCCTTGTATTATGAATTTAGGGCATGGGTCAGAAATGCTTCACGATGAAAAAAAACCCTAATAAAACAGATCAAATCTACAGCAGTAAAAAGCTTAAAAATCGTTCCTTTCTAAAGCACTGTCTCAGAGAGCCAGATCTCCTGCAGCCTGATCCACACATCTGCAGTGGAATTCAGTAAACCCATTAATTATTGTGCTACATCAAAAAACCCCACATACAGTAACTTGAAAAGGAAAATACACAGATGAAGAACACCAATTTTCACAAGATTTCAGTTTCATCGGCATCCATTCTCTTTTAATTTCAGGTGCACTGTTAACAGAAAACCGGGACAACAGTTTCCAAAGCAAGCAGGTGAAAATCACCCTTGGTTTGAAGACAGAAACAAGCTGTATGATGTACTGCTTCTTCAGGCCCCTAGTTCTGCCACCCACAAAAGACTAAACATCCCACGAATGTATAAAACATCCTGTTTGGCCCTCAAATATACAATACAGCCTTATCATAGTGCTCCCTTCCAGCATTTAACACGCACAATTTTTAAAGATGTCAGCACATGACTGCTTAAGGAAGCCACCCCAGCCCCTTGATTACAGGCAAGATGGGCACATCCACATAATTAAGCACGTGCTTAAGTATTTGCAGGCCTGAGACATACTCTGATGGAAGTTCAATGGCATGCAATGTAATGCCATAACGACTACTTTCTTTAACACTCACTGGGTCATTTTTTACAGTTTATTAGATATTGTAAGAAGAAGGAGCACTATTTAGAGAATTGTTACGAAGCCAGGGCCAATATAAAATGCCAGTGGATTATAGAGAGGAAGACTACTTTGGACTACAGAAGTCCTTCTGAAATTACACTGAGAAATTACAGGAAAATAATGTTAATTATATTCTCCTACTACTTGAACACTTCGCACACTCAAAATCTGTCATTTGCCTTTTCATTCCCACAGGCACTTTTTGGTGTTGTCAAACTGGCACCTTTCATTCCTGGACACTAACGCCCGTGGGTCATCTGGATGGGACTGGTATGGGGAGATGGTTTCCAATCTTCATTACAACCTTGGTGACAACACTTTACAAAACACTCATTGGAAATTTCTCCCCCCTCACCTCCCCTCCACTTAGCCTACAGACTAGTATTTGGACTCTTACCTGGGACTGACAATCTGAATAACGTTTGGACAAGTGGATTTGCTGATGTGGAAACCAAAATCCACAGGATTTTTTAAATCCTGAAGTTATTGAAGTGTTACTCTGTGTTATTCCATTTTAATATAATTTCTGTCTGCCAGCTCATGAAACATGGCACAACACTGGATAAATTTTGACAGGGTACACTAAGGGAAGCACCTACTCTTATAAAAAGATTATGGATTCCAATTCTGTGTAATGAGAGCATCATTATACCCAAAACCACCTTGAACATACACTTAGCTTTCAGACACACCTGTAAGACCACTCAAAGTCAAAAACTATTTCCTACGATGAATGGAAATAAGCAAGTTTTTTTAGTGGCTTCCTGAACTCAGAGGCTGAGTCAATACAGAAACTGCTCTGTGTGTGTGTGTGTGTGTGCGTGCGTGCATCTGTGTCAAGTGCTGACCAAGAAAGCTCTCCACCTTCCCTCAATCTAACATATGAAGCATGCTGACTGGACTTGTCAAAACAAAACAAAAAAAGTGATTCTTTTGGAAGAGGAACATGTTGCTACAGCAGCAACACTCACAACAGGTATTTTAGATATTTTTATAGTGAGGGTTCCTGCTTTTGCGACTACTGGTCCAGCTACACTATTGTAAAACTCAAAGGAAGTGCTGACAGCAAGTGACCAGTGGAAACACCCACGCTGCCTAACACTGTCATCACTTTGCAACGGTTTTGCCTCCCCTTATTGTTTCTCCCTGTCAAGTGGAAAGGGACCTCTGTAGGCTAGAAACAACAGTTAGTGAAGTTATGAATAATGACCAATATGTCCCAAAAAGATGTTAAAACCAATGCTTGCAAATACAGATCTTCTTCTCACAGATGTAAAGGAACTCCATGCTATGTTAACCTGCTTATGGGAAGTGTGTGCATTACCTTTCTTCAGAAGCTCTAGTCTTTTTCCCTAGAAAAAAAAGGCTGTAAAAGAAATCTTGAAAAAAAACAACCCACTGCAAAATGCTACGCAAAAAAGGCTAGTAATCTCAAACTAGACTATTAACTTCAAGATTAGACCCATTTTTTGACTAGCACTATGATGCTTGCAAGACAATTGCATAGGAACAGGAATACTAGTTTTATTCCATTTACATGAAATACAGTGAATACATATAATTGCATATATTAAACATGCAAAAATCACAACAAATGCTTTAAAACTAGGAAAATATAATTTCAGTCATCTTTTTTTTCATTGTTCAAATGTTTGACTCTAACAGTTTTGCTGTCAAAAAACCCTTATAATATGGCTTTCTAATTGGTCTATCTTTATGAAAATGTTGGTGCTGGCTAGTAAGTCCTGTATTTCTCTTCTCTGCACCATTCCTCCTGCTCATTCACATGAGTAAACTTCATTAATAACCAATGGGTGCTGCAGTTTCAAAGATTAACACGCATGCAATGGCTCTCTAGGAAGTTGTTTGTACCTAATACAATCTGTGCAATTAATTGAGAATGGGTATGAAGAGAAAGGGGATCTATGCTGGTTTTTAAAATATTGCTATCTCAAGAACAGGCCACCCTGCTACACAGGAAGACCAGGAATTTGAGCAGGAGGCTCAGCTGGTCAAACAGGGAGCTTCTCAAAGAATGTGCAAGAAAGGGGTACACACAAGCAGGAAACAAGGCTAGACAATGACAGAAGTATAAAAGCACTGCTTTGATATTTAGATACAAAATCAGGAAGGCTGAAGCCCAGCTGGAGCCCAACAGTAAGCTAGGAAATGACAAAAAGGGTAATAAAGAAGAATTTCCACAAGTGCATTAGTTGCAAAATGAAGTTCAGAAAACATATTAATACAATGATAGGCAGGAGAGCCAGTTTAGTGACAGATGATTCACCATAACACTTTCTCCAAGACCTCTAAGTGACATGGTTTGTGAGGGTATCAGCAGTATAGGAACAAGTTAGGGATGACATAGAGTTGCATCTGTATCTATGGGACAGACAGGATTGACCCAAGAGTGATGGAAGAGTTGGCCAATGTGATCATGAGGCCTCTGTCATCTACAAAAAAAATCACAGTGACCAGGACATATTCAGATGACTGGGAAAAGGTTAATGTTGTGTCCAACTTTAAGGGCTAGAAATTAAAAATCCACACATAAACTCGTCAGCCTCAGCTCAATCCTGGGAAACATTACAGAATACGTCTTCTTGGAGTCCACCTCCAAGCACATGCAGAACAAAGCAGCAATCAATAGTGAACATGGATTCACCAACCAAAGGACAAGGGTCTAGAGGGCTGCCAAGACAATCAGAATCCTGGAGCAAATCATCCTTAAGAGGAGTATGAGGGAGATAGGTTTATTTGGACTCATGAAGAGGCAGCTAAAGATCAATTTCAAACCAGCCTACAGGTACCTGAAACTGTAGCTGCAACAATGACAGAAAAAAACCCCTCTTCTCTGTAGTGCCAGGCAACCTAAGATAATGACAATGGAAACAAATCTCATTTTCAGAAATTAAGGATGGACATTGGGAAATAAAAAAAATATTGTAAGGAGGGTAGTATGGCTCCAGGACAACATGCTTGGAGAGACTATGGAGTCTTCATCCTCGGAGTTGTTCAAGACTGGTCCAGACAAAGCTGCAGCTGATTACCCTAGTGTTAGCGACTGTCCTGTCTCAACAAGAAGGGTAGACTACATAACCTGCAGAGCATCTTTCCCATCAATATTTCTTTGATGCTATGACTCTTTTTGCCTCCCTGTAGCAACTTGCACTATATCCTACTGAAGTCAGTCCTATGTTTTCAGACCATTCCATCAATTTCTCGAAATCAAATTATGTCCTCCAATGTATCTGCAATTTTTTCTAGCTTCACTGTGAAGTTTGACACATAGACTTTTATTCTATCTTCCACATCCTTATGAAAACAGGTAATAGCACAGAACTCAGGACACAATCCAGACAGACTGTACTCTCTCTGTCAGAACAAAAGATACATCCTCTAAGTATTCTCCAAATATTATCTGCCACCATTTTTTTTACTCTCTCACCTATAATACCTTCACTTAGCCACTATATCTCTAGCTTACATGTAAAAGCATCCTGTGAAATGTGTTAAAAGCTTACTAACCTCAACAGGTTACTCTTCTAAACATTGTTAAGCACAGCCCCAGAAGGCAATCATCTTTTAAATTACCCTTTTTCCTTGCTTTTATGGACTTTAAAAAACTACACTTTCTCTTTCTACCCTTAAATTAAGACTAGGTTAGCGCTCAGAGTAATCTGGTAACCATATCATAAGACTCCTACAAGTCTGTGAGCTTGTATTTTGAGGATGCAGCTTTCAGGGCCAGTTTGGTTCACGAGCACTAAGACACTCCACTAGTATATAAGACAGTGACCTCTATTAGAACAAAAATGCTGGAAAAAGCTGTATGGGCCAAGGTGGCTCCATGCAAGAGTATCCTGCAACTGCCTCTCTGTATGCTTCACATGTTTCCATTACCTGAGGTATTCCTGTTCCTCTCCCCATTACACAGAGCTGACAGTATGTATTTTAAACACATTCACATCGGATGATCACTTGTGCTGGCTTATTCTCAGTATCTAGGTTGAATTATTTTTTTGTCCCTTTGCTTTCTCACTTCTTCCAGTGCTAGTCAGTCAATCTTCTTCCTCACCTACAGTGTTGCTAACTGAAACCTGAAGCTGAGAAAAAAGGAAAAATAAATAAAAATAAATCAAAACTAGAAGAAAAATCTGCCTGGAGCCAACTGTTTTGTCTCTAAAGTGCTTGGAATCACTTTTCCATTTTGTCCTTTTTCCCACACAGTGACGTTTTCTACCTGACACCAACACAGATCATTACATGACTCTGGGCAGTTCATCCTGAGTCCTTCTTCCAGAGGCAGCTTCTAGACTCCTAACCAGAGTCATACAGAATGTTTGTCAATAGATTCACAGGTTGGGGGCCAGGGGGTTATCCTCAATGATCTGTGAAATCCACAGGTGAAGGTTTGACTCCATGGACAGTTGCATAAGGCACAAACTCGACTGTGCTGCATTCTTAACTTTCCCCTCTTCACTAGGGAACTTGTCCCATAATTCTTTCAAGATATGCCAGTCCATATTCACCTCTAAAAATAGCTGACATCAAACATAAATGACACTAACAATATCAGCATCAAATCCCAAAAGTATTCTCCTCAGATTTACCAGATAATGAAGAAGAATGAGGGAGGCCTCATCATCTCTCTTCTCATATGCTTCAGGTCACAGCTATTTAAAATCCACACACACAGAGGCAAAGGAAAGAGTTGAACACCACTCATGAGCTAAAGCACCAATATATTTTCCTTTCTGATGCACATAAGCATTAAACCCCCCCAACCTTTGGTAGTAAAGACTAGAACTAATTTTATGCAGAGGAGAATAGATTAAGTTTTAAGAAAACCAGCAGGACCTGGGGACATTTTCTGGGGGGAAGGTTGTTTCTTTTTTCAGTACAAACTTAACTTTATACTAAATGAGCAATATGGCAAGACAGGCAGCGTATGCCTGAATAATTACTAAGTTACTACACAATGTTACAAGAAATTAAGTCAAAAGCCAAATAAGAAATCACTACAGAAACTGAACAATCCCATTTCCTTCAAAGTTAACTGCCCAGAATGCTTTAGAATCTCAGAACTAATACTAAATTTTAAAATAATAGCACCAGTGCCTTTATTCACTCAACCAAGAAAACAATGCGACACATGGAACAAAAAGATACGATTGCTGCTCAGGAAATCAGATCCTAGGTTGCATTCGTTTCCTAAAAGCAAATTAAATATAACCTACCAGTACCTTTTGAGCAAATAAAGCACATCTTGAAGCACAACGGCTCAATCAAGGCATGGTTAACAGCAGGGGGCAGCAGGAGCCTTCCCCGGAGCTTCACTTCATTCCTGAACACCCTGCAAATTCTGCGCTCTTATCTTTTCATATCCTTGTAAGTGGCTTTTTTTAATACATCCCAAAGACTAGGTTCTGTCACCCTCTTCATTATGGGCCTTAAGAAGGGACTTAAGCTGCTGGCTCCAAAGCAGATATGAGTGACAGGATGAAGGCAAACCACACTTGGTGAATCTCAGGAGAAACAGAAACATCCGTCCTGACTAAGCCCCAAAACACCATAATATACAAAAGGAGATTATTTGATATCGTAATTATACCTCGCTGGGCCAGTCTTACAGACAACTCAGATTCATAGGTCTCCCTTAAGATTTTGTGATATATAAACTGTTCCATTTTCATGTTTTTAAAACCAAACAGGGACTACACAGTGACAGTTTGTTAAATTAGTAACTAAGTAAGCAAGCTGACACAATGAAATTAATTCCTCATGGCACAGTGGTATATACGAGACCTTATAGCAGCCTTCCAGTACCTAAAGGGGGCTACAGGAGAGATGGGGAGGCACTCCTTATCAGGGAGTGTAGTGATAGGACAAGGGGTAACAGTTTTAAGTTGAAAGAGGGTAGATTTAGATTAAATATTGGGAAGAATTTTTTTTACTGTGAGGGTGGTGAGACACTGGAACAGGTTGCCCAGGGAAGCTGTGGATGCCCCATCCCTGGAGGTGTTCAAGGCCAGGCTGGATGAGGCTTTGAGCAACCTGGGCTAGTGGAGGGTGTCCCTGCCCATGGCAGGGGGTTGGAACTTGATGATCTTTAAGGTCCCTTCCAACCCAAACCATTCTATGATGCTATGATTCAATGATTCTATGATTTAATTTTTCTGTTTTAAAATTGTAAAAAGAAGAACAGGAAAACAACAGAAATGGCTTTGAATGAAGAATAAAAATGGGGACATCAAGCAGCACAAAGTCACAGATTAAAAATGGTACTTTGAGACTTATCCTCTGTAGTTTCCCCCACTGCATGTACTCCACAGAACAATAAATATAATTCAAATAAATAATTCTTTATGAACTAATAATAGTGCAACTGCAAAATTTTTAATGCCATGCAGAACAGGTATCCTGAAAAACCTCACCGGAGTAAACACAGAAGTAAACCAAATGCTTCTAAATTAGTATGCAGAACAAGGCACATCTTCCTCCACAGAAGTGAAGCTGCTCTCATTAAATTTTCATAATGGTGCCGGTAATTTGCTTACCTGCAGCAAAGAGCATGACTGCAACTGGTCTGTAGAACCGCCTCCGAGATCCCACACAGATAGAGATCAACCCAACCAGGAAAGCTATGAGAATGATGGCAGCACCACCCAACAGCAAAGCAAGAGTAGCTATTTGCCAGTCTAGGGGGAAAAAAGAGAGGGGAAAAAAGAGAGGGGAAAAAATTAATAAAATTATTTCAGTAAAACAAGCCCATAGGCTTGACAGAAAACAGCAGAATATGAGGAATGTACAGTCTCCACCAAGGCTCAGGTAAATAAACAACTGTGCTTTGGATTTCTCTTCTTCTAATTAGTGAAACAATTTTTTACAACAGATGCAACTTGGGAGCAACATGCCGCAACCTCCCACACTTTTTCAAGGCTTAGTTGGCCTCGCTGGGATTTTGGCTCAAGCAAGACTGAATAATTTGGTCCCCTAGTTTTTGTCCAATTTAGAGTGGGAAACTGAGGCTGGGTCATGATTAGCTAGTGTGTTAACTGACAGCCAGTCTGTCATAACTTTCTCACAGAAAAAAGTCAAACCTCTGCTTGAGCTGATCAGGGTGACATAAGAAGGGAAATGCATGTAGGCTCATCATATACACCTATCACTTGGGAACTACCAAAGCCATATAGTATGAATAGCAAAACTAAGGTAAAGGAAAGAGATGCTTAAAGGAATAAAAATTAAATCATTTTTAACACTAAAAAAGGTGGAAGTTCAATCCTTACAAAGGCAGTAACAATCATTAGACGCAGACCAAGTCAAACCTGAAGTCCATTTCAAAACGCCTGTTATCTGTAAGTGTCAGTTTTTAATTTCTTTCCCCAAAAACAACTTTTGGATTTGGTCCAGTGTATTTTCTAGTTATTTTCATACATAATTGATGCAGTTACAAACAACATCCTTTATATCTTAAATCACATAAACCAAAATCCATTTGCAGGCTGATGGCCAGCATGGGTCTAACACAACATCCAAGATCCAACTTAAAAGCTTCTGCAGGATTTTAGAAAGGCACAAGCTTTGTGCTGTCTCTCTTCGCAAACAGTATTTAAGACCTTGTCTCTCTGCAATAACGGGTGTCAAGAAAAAGAATCAGATCATTATTTACTGTTTATTACTACTATTTAGTAGTTCAAGGAAGATGATCTAAAATCAGCCTGTGGGAAAAGGACCTATGGATCGAATGCATCTCATTGCGTTGAAAATACCAGCACTCATAAGATATTCAGAACAAAGTGGCCGAATGCGCTACGTAGTTCAAAGAAAGTAGGATTAATTATTTTCAAAATAAATTTAGAGATCTTAAGATTACTAAAATAAGAACAACAAAAAAATACCACATTCTCTTTTTTTAAAAGAGCAAACCTCAGTGTTTCAAAAAACAGTACATCCAGTTTCAAAAGAGATCTAATCTGCAAAGATACTGACCGCGCAAATGTGGCATTTGGGATGGAAGGCTGGCAGCCATTACCACCAAAAAGTCTTCATATATGAAAAAGGATGAAGGAGATCAGAAGACAAAAGTGAACAGAAGAGCTATAAAGAGAAAAAGAGCTTTGCTAAAAGAGCAAGTTATTTTAAAGGCATATTTGTGCAAGTACACACATTTATTTTTATTTTAATTCTTTTTAGAAATCCAGGCATGCTGTTTACTAATACTTTAATTACTAAGTACTCAACCTTCCAAGCTCTTTTACTTCCTTGTTTTCTTACTGGACCAAAAACCAAGTCTGGGAACAATCTCTCATTCTCCTACCTTCAGCATGCAATCTCTAATGTCAGTTTGCCGTTTGTCCCACTGCTTTATTACTATTGGGATGGACATACAATTTTAGTTATGGATGGGAATGTTATGAGGAGTGGTTTTTAATGTTGACATGATCCTTTAGAAACACAAAATGGTTAGTGTACTGATGATTTAGAAAGTATTCTTCCAATATCAGAGTGCATTACAGATATAAAATACAGAAATAAATTAACAGAATGGACCACTTCGGAACAACATGAAAGGTATCCTTGCAGTAGAAAATTACACAGATACAAAGACTAGACACATAAATCCATATCACCCCAAAGTTAAAAGCCATACAAAACTGATGAAATAAATCAAAGCGCCAAATGGGAAAACACAGAAATTAAGATTTCTGAAAACCACTGCACATAATAAAATATTAAATGTTATCTTCACATTAATCAGACACCAAAGTCTAATGCAATCGAAAGGTATGTAACATTGGAGTAGCAACTAAATAGAAAAAAAGTTGAGTATCTTATTGCTTTCCAAAACCACACTGGCAAGACCATCAAACAAGTGAAAATAATTAAGGCAAAGACGATATACGTGTGGGGTTAGAATATAGTTTAGCTTCCAGGACAGATATATCTATGGATTTTGGAAAGGTCAAAAAATAAACAAACTACCTTACTATAGTACTGATGTGGGAGGTAAAAGGACAAATCAGTGTTGGAAGACACCTACACTCCCAACTAAAAAAGAACTGACTTAGCTAAACAAAATTAATTTATTGAGTAAGAGAACCTGCTCAGTGATGTTGACAGTATGACAAAACTGAGGCTCTTAATGTTCCTCACCACCAGCTGAGGACCAGGTATTCAACACTGTGCTCTGGGCCACAATGTCTGGAATTGCCTCTTTATTTTAGCTCCAGACTCCATTCACAGGAGCATACAATGCTACCAGTCTTTACCTTGAGCTGCAGCTAAGAGGGTTTCTGGTTAAAGAACATGATGAATGTCAGACATTAGTGCACAAAGAATACTGGACTGAGTTTTCCTATCTTGCCTACCATGGAAACTACGTGTTCAAATCTCTGTCATCTTAGAAAAACCTTAACTTTCAATTCTGAACACCATTTGATCTGGTGACAGAAATAAAGCTTCTCTTGGCTTAAGGAAGTAAAACTTTCTGCATGTGCTCTCCACTTAACAGAAATTATTTAAGAAGAAATCCAGGCCACTGGACTTCACACAAAAGAAAATAAATATCCAAAGAAAATTGAATCACTACCTCTGAAGGAAGAACACCCTCTAAGTTAGATAGCTACAACAATATAACCACATATAACAAAAGTCCGTAGTTTTCCTCAGACTACCCAGGAGTGATGTATAACGCACAGCACCAAAATGGGAACAGCAGATTGCTCTGTTCCACAGTGTTACTGGTACACAGAACATAAGCCTACTTTAGAGCACACAAAATATGCTTGCATCATTTCTAGGCATGCACCAGTCTTGCAAATACGTTACTACATTCAGTTCAGGAGCCTCATCAGTTCAGTAAGACTGCTTGTTCTCACAGAGATAGAAACATGCATGAACATGAGCAAAATGGGACCTTATATACAATCATTATTAGTTCCACAGATTCAAAACAATATTTGGTTACACTTTAAGAATGCACATCACTATTTTCCTGTGTACATCACTACAGCTTATTTATGCTACACATCCACTATCTATGAAAAAAAGTTAGGAACTAGTGAAATCACACTCCCACAAATCTTTATAAACTTTTAGATTTTAAAAAGCCCTGTCACCTCATAGTCATGCCCAATTTAAGCTGCTTTGTTTGTTTATAAGTGTAGCCACCAGAAAGCATAACTTGAGATTTTTTCAGTGTTCATGATCTTAGCAATATGTTAAGAATTACACTGATAATGCCACCTATCCGATCTGAACAACTAGAATTAATATATCTTGACAACCGCTAAGTCACTCAAGATAGATTTCTTAAGAAAAGCCTCACTTAATGTAAACTATTTTTAGGTCTGAAAAACCAACCATGTTTTTGTACTGCACAAGCAGCATCACAATGTCTATAACCATGGGAAATACATACTGCAGTTCTGTCAGCGATGACAGTGTTTGCATAATTTTTATTATAACAATCTGCCATTAGTTCAGGGACATGGATTTCAATATTTGGAAATATATATATATATATATACACACACACCCCTAGGTACTTAACACATATTTTCAAAATATATATGGTGTAAAATTTATAAAAATCACCATCTTCAGTAAAAAAAAACCAAAAACAAAAACACTGAAACCATGATGTTAATGTTTCTTTTCAGTTAATTCCTCATATATAAGCCAGTGCCTTTTTGTAACGACACCTTGGCCTCTCTGCTCTTTGGAAATTCTGCGTGTTTCTTAATGATACAGAATCACAGTGTTAATTGCACACTGAAATGTATGACTCTCCTCCCTTCGTCCCCCCAAATGAAATGGCCTAAGGCTTTAAACTGTATATTCATTTTTAATTAAAAATTAAGCAGCTCTATCTACTCTATTTCTTGGGCAAAATAATACTTCAGTACTAGGGTAAAATCAGGAAAAGCCATAAAAGAAGAAGAAAACATCTCAAAGTTCTGAAATAAATAGATCATTTCTTAACACAAGAAATAACAATGCAAAAGGCTAACACTGTCACAGATTTCATGTTTTCAGCAAGTTCCCCAAAATTTAAATATTTTCTCTACATGGTATTCTACAGTAAAAGAAGTGGTGGACATAAAAACATATTGTGGAATATGTGAAACACCTGTTTATATTTCTCTTTCAGATAATGCAAGTGAACTGAATTTATTTCTTAAGAAACAATCAAGTATTCCTTTCTTTCATACAATGGTTCTCCACTGAGTCATCTCATAGAGACAGAAGTAAAAAAATGCATGCAGCTGTTACATGATGAAGGTTACAACTGACCTTCTTCTAGCACTAAACAAAACCTTGGTAAGAAACAAAACAGAACAACACTCTTAGGTAAGTCTTTCTGATTTATTGAAAAGCTTCTACTTATCTACTTGCCCTCAGCCAATATACACTCTTAGATATCGTAATATAGCATTTAAATTCAAGAATAATGAATTTGAAAGAACGTGTCAAATAAAGCATAGAGAGTTGAGGCGCCCACGCATAAGAAATTAAATATAACCCACTGAATGTCATAACAATCAACTAAGACAAATACGATAGCTAGAGATACCCCTAATTGCTTCATATTCAAAACTATTTCTAAGTTTATAAACACTCACCAACTTAGCCATCAAATAGCCAATGGAAGTTTAGTAAGTGTAGTGATTATGTAGAAACACAAAGGTAGAAT